GTTGGTAGTGGCTGAGCTAGCCTCATGAGTTTGGCTACCTAGTGAAGGGCCCTGGGCTAATCATGGGTCGGAGACTGCCTGGAATTTGCTAATAGGCAAACCCTGAAGCCCAGATCACAGCCCTGGGGTGCCCCTGGACTTGGGAACCTCCTTGCTCTGCCTTCTTGAACCTGTTTGAGGTTCCTAGGCTTGTCCTGTGCGTCCTAGGACGCCCCCAGTTGGTCAAACACACCGAGCCCTGGGGCCTGGGATCAAAATCTCCAAGTAGGGCAGTCCTGGAACCTTTTTGCTGTTTGCAGGATGGGGGCAAGCGTTTAGACAACCTGGGTGCTTTCTTCAATTTCCCCCAGCCGAGAGAGACAATGAGACATAGTAGGAGAAGCCCAGACGTTGCAATAGGATGGCCTGGCTTTGCCCCTTCCCAGCTGGGTAACCTTGATCGAGCTACTTCGCGGGATCTGTTTTCTCATCAGTCAAAGAAGGGGCATTTAGTACTGCCTGGCAAAACTGTGCTGGGAGGTGGATGAGATGATCTACAGGTGCTCAGTAAGTGATAAGCAGCGTTTTCCTGTGGAAGAGAATCAAAACGACAGGGGTATGAGTTGCACAAACTCCTCCCCCCGACACACACACACACACACACACACACACACACACCCCTTTCTTACAGCCGCAGCCAAATGGATTCTGTTGAAATACGTGTCAGATTGTTTGCCACTCTTCTGCTCAAAGTTCCCCAGTGACCTCTCTCACCCAGAGTCAAACCAAAGCGTCCGCAAAAGCCACGGCCCCGCTGAGGTCTGCCCCCTCCTCACTAGCTGTCTCTGGCCTCATCTGTAACCATACTCCTCCTTGCTCCCCAGGCTCCTTGCTGCTCCAGAACCCTCTCCCCCTCCCCACTCCTGCCCCAGGGTCTTGGCCCCACCACCCCCTCTGCCTGGAATGCATTTCCCCTTGACATCTGTCTGCAAGGTTTGCCCTCTCTCTTCCTTCCCATCTTTTCTCCAAGGCCATCCCGTCAAGGAGGTCTCCCCAGCCACTCTGTTTTAAATGGGGTCCTCCATCCTCCTTCTCTCTCTCCCTTGCTTCATTTCCTGCATAGCCTGACTAGCCCCTGACCGACTGTGGATGCATTTTGTTGCTTATCTCCACTCACAGGGATAGAAGTTCTACAGTCAGGGGTTTTTGTCTACAATGTTCACATTCACAGCAATCCCCAGTGCCTGGGCACACAAGTAGGGACTTCCTGTTTGTTGAATGAATACCTGAATGGAGGCAAGGACTCAAGTTGGGGGGCGATGCAGGTCAGGGGAGTGAGGCGTGGCATGAAGGACACATGGTCAATGTCCCTTTTCTCCGAATGAGGGAGTTGGACTAGACCCCAGGAGATCATGAACCCCTGGGAATCGTGCACATCAATGATGAGTTCCTGTCTCCACGCATTGTTCTGGGATGAGGGTCCCTAACTTCTTGCGGACATTTAACAAAGCTCAGCATCATCCCTGCTCTGGTGTTTCCTGGTTGGATCTAATAGGCTCAAAGCCTTGCTAAGAACCTACGATGCTGACACTCCACGATCTTATTCTAGTCTCAGCAACCCCAGTGGTCCTGGCCCCAGAGAGGGGAATGGGAGCCAGAGGGGGCCTTGGCAGGATCAGCGCGGGGGAGGGGGGGGGAAACGCACGGGAGGGCACAAAGGAGACTTTTGTATGACTACATGTGCTGCCTTCTTTTTATTTAAAAGAACATAGATGTATAGCAAGTATGACAAAATGTGAACAATTGTCAACGCTGGATGCCGGGCACAGGGGTGTTTGTCACAGAGAGCTTTGTACTTTTTCTGTATTTCAAAAATTTATTTTAAAAAAACCCACACAGATTTGGAGGTGGGCAGGGCAGTTATAGCTCGTGAAGAGGCATAGAGAAGCCGTTTCTGGGGGGCCTGAGGGACGTGCACTTTGGGCATTTTTCCGGGGTGTGTGTGTGTGTGTGCGCGCGTGTGTGGGCAGAGGGGACGGCTGGGTCCGAGCCCATCCCTGGAGCCATTGGAGCCCTTTCTTCCCTCCCCGCTGCTCCCCCTTCCCGGGTCTCAGTTTCCTGCCTTCCTGGGGAGCAGGGAAAGGCTGAGAGGCCCCGTGCTGGGGGTGAAGCTAATTCATTAGTGATGCTCGACAAGGACCGGGCGCCTGCAGCGCTCGCGTGATTCATCAACATGATTGCCCGGCTGCCAGCCTGCGTGGGCCCCGAACGCCAGCACATTTTACCTTTACCCACCGAGAAGGTCCTGGTGGGAGGTGAAGGCACATGATCTACCCAGAGCAAGAAAAAGATTCGGAGGAAAAAGAGAGGGCTGGTCCCCTGTGCCCTTGAACCAGGAAGCTCTGCCAGGCCGGTGCTGGATTTGCAGGGGCTCCTGTGGCTCCTGCCAGGTCCGTAGAGCCCAAGAGGGCCGCCTGGTGCTGGAGTGCCAGTTCCGAGAACGTGGCAAGGGGGGTGGGGGGTGCTGGCGGGGCTTCCTCCTCCACAGCGAATGTTCCCTTGGGGAAACTGCCTGGGGGGCGGCGGCGGGGGGGGGGGTGGGGGGTGGGGTGGGGGAGGGTGAGAGGGAGGGGCTCATCCTCTTCCCCAGTAGCCTGGCTGGGTTCTCTTCGGCTTTTTGGTCTCTTCCAAAAAGTCTCCCAAATGAGTAGAAGAAAGAGTTGGGTTGGGGCTTAGATGAAGTACAGAAGGAGCTCAGAAGCCTCTTACACCCCAGGTCTGGTGTCTGGGCTCCACTTAATCTCTGCCTGAGTCCCCTGCCTCGGCTCAGAGTCCCGCCTTCATTTTGCGAGTGCCCCTCCCAGGACAGGGGTCCGTGGCTGGGTTCCTGGCTCACAGCGATACCTGCCTCTGTCTCCCATCAGCTGTTCACCCCATGCCTTTTCATCCCTTTATCCAACAAGTATATATGGCGCATCTGAGCAAAAGAAGCCAGGAACAAGGAAAAAAAAGAAAAGAACAGGCACTGAATAATCTCATTTATATGAAATTCAAGAACAGGCAAAACTGATCCGTGATGATAAAGGTCACACTCATGGTTGCCTCTGGGAGGCGGGGATTGACTGAAAGAGGCTCAGGGGAGCTCTGAGTGATGGAAGTATTACATGGGTGTTTACATTTGTCAAAACTCATCAAACTGTACACTTACGATCTCAGCATTTCATGGTATGTAAAGTTTGTTTCCATTTAAAAAATGTTAGAAGTTTTCACTGAATACCTACTACGTGCTAGACATGGTGCTGCAGCGAAGGAGATAAACTTGTCTGCCCCGGGAGGTGACATTCCAGCTTACAAGTGGTTCTCATGCTCTCCTGGCATTGGCCACTCTCTGCCCCTGGGCTGGCCTCCCTCTCTGCCTGCAGTGGGGATGGGGGTGGGTCAAAGGATCAGGGTGCATCAGGGATGGGGGTGGGTCAGGGTGCTGCAGGGGACAGGGTCAGTTACACGCGCACACGAGCCAGGTTCAAGGGGAGGCAGGATGGAAGAAGCATCGAGCCTGCAGACGCCGCTGCCTGGATGTAACTTCTACTGGCTGTGGTGACCTTAAGCAGATTCCCTAATCCCTCTCAGGCCACTTTCCTCATCTTCCACATGGGACTAATGATGCTTTCCTTGTAGCTTTGGCAGGAGAGTTAGAGGCTCCGGGGTGAGAAAATTCGTTGTTTCTTATATGTTAGTGTGGTACAATGATTAAGAGCACAAATCCCAGCCACTCACCAGCGCGGTGACCTTGGGCAGGTCACCCAAGTCAAACCCCTCAGAGCCTCAGTTTCTCCGCCTTTAACTTTGGGGTAATGAGGGTACCGAGCTCAGACGTGTTGCAAGGATTCAGTGCAATGCTCTTAGTAGAGCGCTGGGCACATGGCAGGCTCGGAGGACACGGGGGCGAGGGTTTCTGCCAAGAGCTCTGGCAGGAGGGCTCTGAATGGGAGGGAAGAAGGCAGGGGCACACAGCTGTTGGTGGGAGCATGCGCAAGAGAGTTACAGAATGACCGTGGTCATCCTTGGTGGTGCTCAAAGGGGCTCACGTGTCCCTGTCCTCTGCCCACCGCAGCCACACGCAGACCTCGAACGCAGCTGGAGGGACAAGGCAGGAGACTGGAGCGGGAGCGCACTGACGAGGAACCCGTTGCGCAGTGGGGGCGGGGGATGGGGTCCAGCCCAGCCCGGGTCCCCACAAAGCCTCCGATGTGACCCACCCTGAAAAGGGCCAGAAGGGAACACCGCTCCGAGTTACTATCCTAAAGTGAGAATGGGCGCAAGCCGTTGGCGACGAAGAGCCGGCACTGACCGCGCCCCTCAGTCCCTCCCCGAGAGCCACTCGGCCAGAGTCCCGGGTCGCGCGCCACGTTTCCTAGGTCCTCGGTTCCTTCTAACTTGCTGCTCCGGGTCCACACAACCGCTCGCCCAACGGCTCGTCGTGTTGCAGGTGCAGACAGCGTCGGACGTCGGGTCGCTGTGGGCGCGGCGCCCGGCCTTCGGGGCGCGGACCTGGGGTTGCCTCGGCGTGCACGGCTCCCGGGGCGGGTCGCCCGGGCCGGCGGGGGGCGGGCCTGGGCGCCGGGTCCCCGCTCGGGTGGCACCTCGGCCCCGCCCCGCCCCGCCCCCCGTCCGCCTCATTGGCAGCCGCACACGCGTCGGGGGTTGCCAGGGCGACGGGTCGCGGAGCCGCAAGTCAGCGCGAACCCGAGCCAGTCGGCCTCCGGCGGAGGGAGCGGGGGAGGCCGGAGGGCGGGCGGCGCAGCGTGGCGGCGGGGCCCCGAGAGGGCGCCTCCTCCCCGGCCCGGCCCGGCCCCCCTCCCGGCGCAGGGACAGGCTGGGGCGGGGGGCCCCCCCGGAGCCGGCGCGGCCTCGGCCCCGTCGGGGAGGCCCGGGGGCGGCCGGGGCGGGGCGATGCCGGGAGGCGGCGGCGGCGGCGGCGGCGGCGGCGGCGGCAGCGGCCCGGGCCGGGGCCCGTGACCATGGGCATCGCCGAGTCCACGCCGGACGAGCTGCCGTCGGACGCCGAGGAGCAGCTGCGCAGCGGCGAGCAGCAGCTGGAGCTGAGCGGGAGGCGGCTGCGGCGGCTGCCGAGCGCCGTGTGCGCGCTGAGCCGCCTGCAGAAGCTCTACGTGAGCGGCACCGGGCTGCGCGAGCTGCCCGAGGAGATCGAGGAGCTGCGCGAGCTGCGCATCCTGGCGCTCGACTTCAACAAACTCGAGCGCCTGCCCGACGGCCTGTGTCGCCTGCCGCGCCTCACGCGCCTCTACCTGGGCGGCAACCGGCTGCTGGCGCTGCCCGCGGACTTCGCGCAGCTGCAGAGCCTGCGCTGCCTCTGGATCGAGGGCAACTTCCTGCGGCGCTTCCCGCGGCCGCTGCTGCGCCTGGTGGCGCTGCAGTCGCTGCAGATGGGCGACAACCGGCTGCGCGCGCTGCCCGCCGAGCTGCCGCGCATGACGGGCCTGCGCGGCCTGTGGCTCTACGGGAACCGCTTCGAGGAGTTCCCGCCCGCGCTGCTGCGCATGGGCCGCCTGCACATCCTCGACCTGGACCGCAACCGCCTGGGCGGCTTCCCCGACCTGCACCCGCTGCGCGCCCTGCGCGTCTTCTCCTACGACCACAACCCGGTCACTGGGCCCCCGCGCGTCGCCGACACCGTCTTCCTCGTGGGCGAGGGCGCCGTCGAGCGCATGGCCGAGCGCGACGAGCCCACGCCCCGGCCGCCGCCCCGGCGCCCAGCTCGGGCCTTTGAGGATGAGGAGGAAGAAGACCTACTCATAGGGGGCGGTGGCCCCCGGGCTCTGGGGCCCCCCGGGGGCAGCCTCCCCGCCCTGGAAGCCGCTGCAGGACTGGGCACCTGAGCCTATGCTCTGGGTGATGGACTTGGGCCATTCTGGGAGGAGGGGCTCTGGGAAGGTCTGTGGGAACGGTGGACCCCTACCACGGGGCACTGGAGGGGCCACTTGGGGCGAGCTGTAGGGACAGGCAGGCCTGGGCGTCATCTTCACATACTCCTCGTTGGTAAGCAGCCTGCCACCTGGCTCATCTCCGGGCAGTCCTCAGACAGAGAAGTCCTGGCTCGGTCTAGTCCCCTCTGGCTCTGTCCCGTCTGACAGAGTCACTGACAGCACAGTGGGGATGCTGGCTTCCTCCTGGAGCCGTGTCCGCGCTGTCCCGGAATCACCACCTCTGGCTGAGTCTGGATGCCCAGGGTGCCACACCAGCCCCTCCTCCTCCTGGAGTTTGGATCTCCTAGACCCACCCTTCCTGGTGCAGGAGCAGCTACCTCTGGGGTGGGCCACAAGCCCGTGTGAGCCCGAACTGTCCTTGGAGGAGGGCCTGGGCCGAGCGCCAGTGCCCAGGACAGAAGTGGGAGAGTGGGATTGGGGCCCTAACACCGAAGCTGCCCTTGCCCCTCCACTGGGGCTCATTGCACATACCTCCCTTCCCAGGCCCCCTAAAACTTGCATGGGGGAGGGGGCGCTTAGAAGGCAGGGTCTCCACCCCCACCTTTGATTCTGTTCTGTTCTCTTGTGCCTGGAATCTCGCTGGGAGCCGAGCGCTCTCTCCCCCTTCCCCACAGCCTGAGCCTTCCAGCTGTCAAGTTTGAAAAGAAGCCACTGGGCCTCTAGGGCCTCCTGCACGGAGGAGAGAGGCTCTCTGCTCTGGGAGGCTGTTCCAGTGCCTCTCCCACTGCCTGCACTCTCCATTCCCTTAAATGGGCACAGTCGGGGTGGCTGGCACGGCGTGGGGCACGGGACAAGCGCTGTGTCCCTCCACTCCGTCACCAGGGACAACCTCAGGGGCTGAGGAGTGGGGTGTCGTTCTGCAATTCCCAGGGCCAGATCTTTCCCATCCAAGCAATAACGGAAGGAGGGGGCCAGGGCTAGGGACACTCAGGGACACTGTCAGGGGCAGGGGCCCCACGTGGTAGTGTTTTCTTTAGGAAGAAAAAAAAAACCTGGCTGTAAACATAAATAATATTTCTTGGAGAAAGAATGTGCGTTTCCCACATGCCTGTTTATTTATAAGCCCTGGGAGCACCGCGTCCCATGGCTGTGGGGAACCTGGGCTCCCTGTGGCACTGCGGTCTTGCCCACGTGCACCAGCTCTGTGTCAGGCGGGCCGTGGCCAACAGCTGTGTCCTGCCTGGGGACCAAGCGCCTGTCCTCAGTTACATTTGGCTTTGGCTGCTCGAGGCTGGCCTCCTGTCCCGCTGTCCCTCGCTCTGCCCGCCAGGCAACCCCCCTTCACTCCCTTTCCTGTTCTTTCCAGCTTGCTTCGAAGGTTCCCAGCTCTTAATATAATCTGAATCTCCCTCAAGCTGGGCTGACCTTTCTCTCTTCTTTCACTGGTACTCAGCCCCCTCTCTCGCCCCCTCTCCATGTGTCTATTCTTCCCTCCTTCCATATCCCTCACTCCGTTTTCCTTTTTCTTAGTCTCTCCCTCTTTATCTCTTTTTTACTCAGTTATGGTATTACTTTCTCCCCTCATTGTTCTGGGGAAAAAAAGGAAAGTTTTAAAGAAAACATCATGAAGCCTCAAGCCTAGAGGCCCATCTCCCCATGAGAAGATGCTGCCGGCCACCATCACCATGGCAACAGGGCTGATGTCATACAAGGCCCAAAGGTCGGCCCAGCAGCTCTGTTGGTCACCGGGCTGGGCCTGGGTTAGAGGGAGGCTTGGGCTGGCTCTGGGAGCAGGCGGCTTGCAAGTGAGAGAGAAGGCCTCGAACAGACAGAAGGAGCGGGTGGGTGGGGCGGATTGGAGGCTGCTGCCTGCCAGGAGGATGAGGGGGTCTGGGGCTCAGCTGCAGACCTTTTCCCTCCGGGGACTCTTCAGGTGCCCTTGCTCCCCTGGCTGGAGCTCCGTCAGGGTCAGTGGACCTTCCTGGGGTCTGGGAACTTGGAGGAAGGGATTTGAGATCTCAAGATCACTCGAGGTAGGAACCGCACGCAGCCGGCCAGAGACTGTCCTCTTGCTCCGTGACTCAGACCATGGCAGAGAGGAAATAGCCCCAGGGCCGGGCTCAGAAGGCGTGGGTTCCAGTCCTAGTTCTGCTATTGGCCAAGTGACTTGGAGCACGTCGTGGTCCCCTGGGCCTCGGTTTCCCCATCTGCACACACGATGTTGGGTTCATTTAGGTGTGATGCTGCAGCTCAGAACGCCATGCAGCCTGGTGTTTCTCTACCTCCCTTCATGCAAATCTTAGACACAGGGGAAGTCGGGGTGCGGGAGGAGCCACGTCACCCTGGAATAACGCTGGCCCCCATAGCCCAGATTTCCTTCCTCTCACTGGTGTGTTTCCCTGTACCTCTTCCCCTGCTGCACCTGCCTGAGAACTCTAGGTGAGGCAAAGGTCCCACGCGTACCCTTGGGGCCATGTCCAGTGCCTTTCTGCACTGTCAAACGTGGCACCCTCAGCCTTGGCCACTCACTAGCCAAGCAGGGGCTGCCAAGGCTGAGTTTCTCTCCAGGGAGAGGAAGCACCTGTCGGGGCCCAGTTTGTTACTTGCTTGCGCCACTACCAGAAACCAGTTCCTCTTGGGAAAAGAGAAAGCTTGGTTAAAGTGGGCACTAACTCAGGCTTGAGAGCACTATCGAGTGTCTGGGTCTCCATCTGGAAATGGAGAGACCAGGGTGGGAGGGGGGCCGTTGCCAAGGACAGCTGGGCATCACAGATCCCCTCAGTGCTGAAGAGAGCACAGTATTGGGAGTCCTAGTTCACCCCCACCTAACTGCCTGCGACTTCTCATTTGGCCTTAGGGGGCAGGGGGAAGGGGGAGAGACTTTTGGAGGGGCATTTGCAACGGTGGCCACGTCTGCAGTGGCCCGGCCGGTGCGGGGCAGTCAGCGGTGGGTGGGCCTGGGGGGAGCACGCCGCGGCAGCTCTGCAAGAGCTGTATGTGTGCCCAGGAGTCAGGGATCAGAGCCGGAGGGCAGGCAGTGGGGACCGTGATGACAAACGAGCAGAGGCAGTGGCAGGGCTAGGAACAGGTCCAGGGAGGGAAGGGACTTGCTCATCCAAGGGGCTCAGGCCGCCTAACCCAGGGCTGAATCCACACCACAGGAGACCCCCTCTGTCCTAAGCTGATGGTCAGGTCTCCGTGTGGAATCGGTGGGATCTTGCCCACTCCCGGAGCCTCCCCGTGGCCAGACCGGGCCAGCAGAGTGGCAGAGACATGCGTGTGTGTGTGTGTGTGTGTGTGTGTCCTTTCTTAGCTTTGTTACAGTCATCCCCTGCTTCCCACCCACCCTCTGGGGCTTGGGCGAGCAGAACACGGTGCTTGGGAACTGGGGGCCCTGCCCAGACCCCCCTCCTGCCTCCAATGCCACCACACTGGCTTGCTCAGCCACCTGTCCCAAAGCTTCCTTAAGACACCCGGGCACTCTTGTTCTGAGGATGGACATTTATTAGCACACCTGGGCGTGCCACACGGAACATGTATTCAGACAGGGGTCCCTGCCCAGGGGGGCTCACAATCTAAACAAGACACAACGCACACACACATACACACACACGCAGGACACAGACAGGGAGCAGGGCATCTTCAAGGGACACGGATGGCCAGGGGAGCCACGGGCTGGGGCGCACAGCATGTTCAAGCGTTGTCCTTCTGTTGTCTTTGTGGGGGAGGGAGAAGAGAGCAGGACGTGGCCCAGGCTGGCCTTCGGGAAAGCAGTAGCGTCCGGGAGGGACTTGCGTGAGGAAGAGCACACCAGAGGACAGGGGTCCCAGGCACAGGGAGAGATGGGCACATCTCTTGGTGAAGGCATGGATACTGGGAGAGCCAACAAGGTGAAGGTGGGAAAACTAGGCAAAAAGTCCAGGAGGAGCCCAGAGCCCCGCGCGAGGAGCTGCCGCGTCTGCCAGGCTGTGAGGGGTCCTGCTTTCAGGCCCAGCTTTCCAGAGAGATCCTGAACAGAAGTTCTGGCAAGGAGTGCTCTTCAGGCTACTTACCTGACCTTAGGGCTCCCTCTAATCTCTGGGACAGAGATCAGAAGCCAAAAGAAGAAAACCACCCTTTAACGGGACACTGAAGCCAGGTTGGAAGAAATCCATGGGGCGGAAGGGCACAGGGCAGGCAGCTTTAGGTGGGGGTTCTTGGTGCAGCGCAGGAAAGCAGTTGCCTACCCCAGGTGCTGGGGAACAGGGGCGCGGTGGCCCTCTTCACTCTGGAGGGGGGCAAGGCCAGCAGGTGGACACATGGTAATAGAGGCGCACTTGTTCCTTTTGCGTCTGTGACAGATGTAGCACCTTCCTTCTAAAGTAGCCTGAGAGCTACCAGGCCTTGGCTTCCCCAAGGCTGTGTGGGGAGGGAAGGGAATGGGCTGGGATGGTTATTGCTCTTTTGTGAACTAAGGACACTGGTCCCGGGGAAGGAAGTAACTTGCCTGGGGAACACAGTGGCTGGAGAAGGAAGACACTGGGGCCCAGCTTCCTCAGACTGGGACTGACCATGGCCTCTTTTGAGTTGGAAAGACTCTTCTAATCCTAAAGGATTAAACCAGGAAAGGGTGGAGAGAAGCCAAAGATCCAGCCAACAGATCTAGAGCTCTTTCCTGGTCCCCGCAAGGACCGGGAAGGAGACGCTGGTCCAAAACCACAACGGGCCAGCCAACATTCAGGGGGTGATAGGCAAGGCGGAGGTTCCTGCTTTGGATTGTCTGACCTGCCTTGGAGGGTGGTGATCGTCCCTTGGGAGCTGAAGGAGGTAATGCTGGGCTGGGTGAGCTAGAGGGTCTCAAGGAGACTCCACTCCCGACAAGCCTCGCTTCAGGCCTGATCAGGAAATATGGCTGCTCTCCTGTTTTCTGGGCAGCTGGTGGGTTCATACTCTAGATCTGAGGAGGGGCTGGAAGCTCAGGGAAGGCCTCCTCACCAGTGAAGCCAAATCCCAAAGGTGACAAAGGGAGACTCAGTCCCAGGCTCCCCATCCCCCTCACCCCACTGCCTCTTCCCCTGGGAGTTGAGGTAGGGCTGGGACCCACGGAGGAAACAGCCGAGGCCCTACTTTGTCATGATCCTTTATTGATCAGAACGGGCCCTGCCACAAAAAGCAGGGCCCATTCCCACAAAAATATGATTTTGCAAAGAGGAAATCTTGCTGGCTTAGAGGGGGTGTGTGGTGGAAAAATTTTGTATGGTTCTTTTTTCCTTTTTTTTTTTCCTTCTTCAGTTTTTCTTCATTTCTCTTTGCTGCAATTTTTTTTACTTGTGATAGTGGGTTTGTCTGTCTCTTTTTCTTTTTTTTTTTTAAATAAAACACTTGCACTCAAGGACTCCAACACAATACAAACAGTGGCCACCAACCCCACCCCTGGGGCCCCAGCCGGGCTGGGGGCTCTGGGGGCCCCCTTGGGTTTTTTGTGGCTGTTTTCCTTGTCCCTTCCCTGGCGTCTGGCGCCAGCGGGCAGGTGCGGGGTACTGTGGCAGGTGGAATTTGTCAGCAGTTAGGTAGGGAGATGGTCACAAGAAAGGATACCCGAACAAGATAACAACTAAGTCTAGGGCACCCACAAAGACGGCAGATGACGCTCATGAAGGGACCTGGGACACAGTGGAGAAGAGATAGATGGGCCCAGGCGGGCCTCGGCTATCCTTGGAGACGCTGCAGGGGGAGGGGCAGGTGGGCCTTGCTTTCAGGCTACAGTAATAATACTTTGCTCCCGGGTAGCACCTTCACAGTCCTCCTGCCTCAACCCCCAGGTCAGGTGACGGCGGCCTCACAACCTCCCCTATGAGGTAGGTGAAGTATTATTACCATCATTTTACAGATGGGGAAACTGAGGCCCCGGGAGTGTGGGTGATCTGCCCAAGGTCCTGGGATGGTGGCAGGGCTTCTGTGCCCGTCCCCCCCATCCTCAAGTTCCCCCCTTCTCAGTTCTCCTCTAGCCCTAGCCCACCCCCGCCCTCACCGCATACCACCCGTCTCCTCCTGTGCCAGCCCACCGGACCCTTGGCCCACCACTTGCCGCCCCTCC